TGCTACTAAATAGCTCCCCAAAGCAAGAATTTTACCTACCCCTGGCTTAGTGATATCCTTCCAAGCTAATACTTGTTCCGATTACTTGTTCTGCAATCTGGAAGTTTGCTCTGAAGTTCACTACAACTGGCGACACAATATTTTAATCCGAAACTCAAGGTATAATGAATCCAAGCTCATGATTTAATGTCATTGACATTTTATGGGCCCAGATGCAGAACACCTTTTTGTGAATTTGTAACATTTCAAACGCACAGGTATCGGCCAGCAATACTTCACTCACGGTGCAATACTATGTGACTACTCAGAAGCAAGTTGCGCTGCCTTTAGCAGAAATTGCTTCCTAGCCATGTTAAGCACATGTGGGGTGGCAGCCTCAGCAAACTTTGGTTTGGGCTTACATTTGAAGCAGATTGGATCTGTTTTTCCCCACCTTCTTTTTCACACAATACCAGCTCTTGGAAATATTAATTTTTTAAAAGTACAACTTCCAAAATCCCCCAGCAGTACATGAGAGCTTGCAGGGGATGGACTCTGGGATTAGTACTTCAAAAACTGACACATCCAAGTTCAGCTGAAGACATACGAACACTCACATCATGCCCAAACTGGAGGTGTCTGCAGAAAGAGTGCCTCTGAGTCTACCCAGAGTGCACAGTCATTACCACAGCCACCTTTCACAAATCTGGGGCAAGTAAGCCAAGCATGAGGTTTCGCCTTGAAAAAACCCAGACTGCGCTGTCTGCCTTTCTCTTTCAATAAAATCAAGCATCTGCTCACTGTTGTTATTTTGCAGTGCTTCCAACTGTCCTCCAACCAAATCTCTTTGTACAGACACTGCAGAGAAGCTAAGTTTAGCTTGGATGAGCTAGAGCTATTTTTGGCAGCGTTAAAAATAAATCCAGAGAGACAGAGTGGTGTTGCTTTTTGCAGCATTATTTATCTACGGGGATTTTAAACCCCTCACCAGCAGGCTGCTCTCACTCCAGTTAATACAGCCTGTGAGGAGAGAGATAAACACACAAACATACACACATGCACACATGCAGGATGGTGGACTGGACAAACTGATGTGCAAGTAGACACAAATGCACACATATCGACACAATCCAGGGATGTACGTGGCACTGTGCGTTGTTACATCATAATACGGGGACCCAAGCGAAATGCAGAAAACGTAATTGTGCTCTGTGACCATATGCAGATGGTTCTGGCCCACGTTGCAATTGTGTGCACAGCTGGGTTGCAAGGTTGCCACCCACACAAGAGTTGTGAGGCCAGAAAAGCACATAACTCACCGATCCCTTATTCAGGCTTTCAAGATCAACATACAGAAACACAGCCAGACTCAGTTCTGTTATACAAGTTGATTAAATTTGCGCATGTCTGTTTATGTAGCCCCAGTGCATCCAAGATAGCTAAGAAAGACCCCTCAAACTGAGGAGTTAGATACCTTTGAGGAACTTACAGATGTTGCGGAACAACATCTTCTGGCATGGTGCACTGTTATACCGGTTGGGCTGATGGGAGTTGCAGTCCAGCAGCATCTGGAGACCCACAGTTGCCCACCGTGTCACTAGAGATCCCTGTGCCACCTAGACTGCAAAGGCAATCTATTGCCATTGCAACAATAATTGACAATAGGTGGTACCCTAAACATCCATCATGCCCAACCAGCTTTCCCCTGGGAAGATCAGCATTAGGACAAGAAGCCAAAAGTTTCCCAATCCTCCCCAAAGAATCATATGAACATATATATTCCTGTATGAGATGGACTCTTAGTTTGATCCAGCAGGTCTCTTCTTATGCTTTTATCACATCTTTCAAATCTGCCAGGGAAACCACCATAAAATGCAGAACTAAGGTTAACAGCTGCCCTGCTGCTGGTCATGTGCCAACCTTGCAGGGGTAGTGCCACATATCCCAACAGCGGTAAGTAACTTGGCAGCGGGAACATTTTGTGGTCACATGTAACTGGTGTGACCCGCACCAGTCTAAGTTTAATGACATGGAACCTGAGTCTCTCGACATGGTTATAAAACCTCCTCTCGCCTCTCCCAGACATTTGCATTATAATTTGCAATTGAATGGAATTTCTCTTTAAAATGATTCTTATAAATACTTGGAAAATTAAAAAAAAATCAAACTAAACTGAAGACTGGGGAAAAATAGCAACAAGATCATCCTAGTAAACTCTCTGCTCGTCTCCTGTATGTTAAGTAACCCCAGGCACTGCTATATCTGGTTAGCAAACAGCTTACCAATAAGGCAACCCAGGAAAGTCACCCGAGGTCTCCTATAACCCAGAATGAACTTTAAGGATGGTATCTCAGGGCAACTCCTATTTTAAACCTCCCCTTTGAGAGAGAAAAACGAGAGAGCTTGGCCATTTGCAGGATGGGGCAGAAAGAGAGGGACATCTTGTATGGGAATCCTAAGCCATCACTTGGAAGAGGAGCAAAAGGACTATCTTTGGTAGGGAAAAGAGCTGTGTGTGTGTTCTATGTGCCTTCAATGCACCTGTCAACTTATGGTGACCCCATGAATTTCATAGGGTTTTCTTAGGCAAGGAATCTTCAGAGGTGGTTTGGCCAGTTCCTTCCTCTGAAACAGAGCCTACAGCACTTGGGATTTGTTGATTGTCTCCCATCCAAGTACTAAACAGAGCTGACCCTGCTTAGCTTCCAAGATCAGGTGTCTTTAGTGTACTTAGTCCTTAGGGAAGGAGCTAGAGATGTAAAATTTCTGGAAATTTTGATGCCATGAGAGAGAAACATAATCCTTTGCCTGTCATCCTGTAAGTGACTCATGCAAGTGGAAGTCTACCTTATTTGTGTCTGCCTTATTTGGGGTCACTGTGGAGACCCCTATTCTCTTCCTACCTCCCCAATGACCAAAGCTCCCCCTCCATCATCTTCTGTAAACTTCCAGAGGACCACAGTGGATCTTGGAAGAAGGAGTCCTTGGTTTGCATCTGGTTATGGGGATGTGATGTTCTGGACTTGGATAAAAATGTTATTGTGTTTAATTGCAAACATTAAGATAAGAG